CGAAAAAGTATTATGTTAGCGAACATAAACCAAACCTAGAACAGTTCCTGAAATCCTCAAATCCTGAATTCCTGCTTTGATGTTTCTACTCAAGCTACTATTGGCAGTTAACTGATTAAATTCAAGCTAGTCAAACAACAAAACCAACATGCACAAAACTTTATTCGCAACTTGAAACTTAGGAAACCACTGATATATATGGAGGGCGACTCATCAGAGACCACAGAGGAACAACATGGAAAGAGAGTAACGCAGATTCTAGCAAACCATGGGAAAACTATGCAGCAGCTTGTTGGGGGGAGGGAAAATTTCAGAAGATGGACCCGAGGCCATCCTCTAACGCCACGAGGCACGTTGGGGAAGAGAAAGAAGAAGGAGTTTAATTATTGTACATAAATTACACCTGCCTACGATATTGATAATTGATAAGACATGATTTTATATTTATTTTTGTATCATTTCACTGTTAAAAGTACACATTTTCCTAAATACTTACATTCGCCCTAACATATACAATTATCATATACGCAAAGCTTTTTAAACAAGTAAAACATTCGATTTTTTTAATCATCTAAACTTTACAATATTTCTACATTAGCCTGACATTTTAATGTCAAAATGACATTTCAAATTTCTGAATGTCACTTTATAGGTTAAATTTATTTTGAATTAAAAACAAAGTACAAAACTTTAATGTTTTCTTAAAAATAGTGATATTTTTTTGTAAAATTTCTTATTGGGCCAGTCCGTTAATGTTCACTATTTACTCTATTCAGCCTCCCCCTATGTTTAATCGCACTTTGCTCACGTACCTATTCTATTGGCCGTTGCTGACGCCGATGAAAAAAAAAACCTTGGCATCGGTTTTGGAGGTTACAACGGAACGTTGACCAAATTCTTTATCTCATTTCCGTTTATTGGAAATCTTTTTCGCTTCCTTTCTAGCACATGTCGTCTTACTGCTTTGTGGGTTGAGCCTGAAATAATTCGGTTCCTACGAAACGTGTTACTTCGTAGAATCGCCATGTGTAAAAATGTGACCGTCGTGATCGAAACCTTAACATAAACCTCATATAACATTATGAGATCATCGCGTTGATGCTAATGTTTTCTAGTAAAATTATGATGTTAGAAATTACTCATATATTAAAAGAAATTAAGGATTAAGATTTTTTTCGATAAGTAATGGTTATGAAGTGATCCCGATAAGTTTCAATTACGCTTTAAATGCGTGCCAATTTCCCAAAATAACTTTGGGAACCACTAAATACTAGTGATTCACGTGCGAAATTTGTTTATTTATAAACTTCAAACTCCTTCCGTAAATTATTACTCTTGTACTTGTAAATAGCAAAATTTCACATCTTTGCATCGTCATCTAATCTACAAGAATTATAATCAAAAATGTAATCTAGATTAATATTTCAAGATTATAATCAGATATAAAATCGGTTAAATGCCGTTAAAATATTAGAATGAGTCACCAATAGTGGTTTTTAAGTGTTCATACTATTTACGTAACTGCGGCTTATATTTCCTTATAAAACCATTGTTCATTTCACAATCGATAAATGCAACCTTAGAACGCAAATTCATGATATCAAGGCGACGTTACTAAAATTCCGATTCATTATTTATTGGTAATACCGTGACGTTGTTTTATCTTAGCCAAAGGGATCAATTGGTTGAGATCAATTAGTTAATTCGTCAAATTGAACTTTATATCTAAAAACCTACGTACGTGCAATATCTCGGAATAACGTAGAAATGAATCGAAATAAGCGAGCGAATTTAATTGTTTGGTGTAGGCTATTCTAACAATCAAAAATAGTACTCTTCAACAAGTAAAAGGAATTCTATATATCAAATATTAATTATTTAAGCATTTGTACAGAAAACGATTTCCAAACCACCGTATTTAGACCATAAAACAATAAAAAATGTAGAAATACGCGCTATGAAAACATGATATGCTCCAAAACGTATTTTTTACGCCGATTGACCACAAAAACTTAAGCTCGAGCCCACACGACACAACGCCACGTTAAGCTATGCTACCCCACAATTATGTGAACATAAATTTAACACGTATTTTAATGCAACACGTACATATTTACAACACGCCGCGCAAACAACGTGGGAGGACGTGGATTAAGATCTAATACGTGCTTCATCATGTCGAGCCACCTTTGAAGTTATAGTGTTGTTTCCGTATATTTGCAATTCGATTTAATTCAAATTTTGTCTCTTATACTGATAGCCAATCGAGGAATTGATAGAAAAAGTTCGGTGATACATATTTCTCTATAATCAACTTTTACATGGCTATATTGAAATAAGGAAACGAAAACTCTTTTCTTGTAAGTCTTTTTTATAGCAATTAAAAGTTGCATTCTTTCAGCTTTGACTACCAGTCATCAGAAGAATACTGCATTGATTCGACAAATACTACATAATTTTGCTATGTATTAAGCTGAAGCAGATCACGTTGAATGAGGTGATGTGTTATATATGTGCCTACTGATATTCATCATGTGGCAGTTATTGCAGGAAGTTAAAAATAATCTTACCACCAGTACACATTGGTAGTCAATAAAGTGAGTTGAGAGCCAATATTTGCATACATGGCTTTTGCCATAATGTTTTGTTCAACCAACAATGAGTTTAGATCACCACAACCATTATTATTAGCAATTCCAATCAGCAAAGAGATTTTTAAAAAACAGATATTTTCTGCCAAAAATACTGAACACTTTGTCAGGTCTCTGAGACGATATTCCTTTACAATAGCATACAATGTATTTTCTACGTGATAGAGCACCTTCACATGCTACATTACGGGAAATTTTGAATCATCGTTTTCTTAATAAATGGATTGTGCGGGATGGACAAATAGGGTAATCACCCCGTTCTCCCAATTTAACATGTTTGCTTGTGGATGACGTTATTTCTCAGATTCGCCAAGCAATAACAGAAATAAATGATAATTTCAATTCTCTTGCCAGGAACTTTATGTATTTACAAACCTGTATTTGTCCATTATTAAGGATTTATGATCAAGTTAATTTTCGAAAATCAACAATTTTGATGTTTACTCGATTTAAAGCTTTTAAATAATGAATGGTTATAATTTGGCTCAATCTTTTTATGGATCTGATTTTTATGATCCATTATAAAGGTTTTATGTGTAAAAAGTATTTCTCTATCGCATTTAGTTTTTGAGTTATAATTGAGTTAATTTTCGAAAATCAACAATTTTGATGTTTAGTCGATTTAAAGCTTCTAAATAATGAATGGTTATAATTTGGCTCAATCTTTTTATGGATCTGATCTTTATGGTCCATTATAAAGGTTTTATGTGTAAAAAGTATTTCTCCACCGCTTTTAGTTTTTGAGTTATGATTCAGTTAAGTTTCGAAAATCAACAATTTTGATGTTTAGTCCATTTAAAGCTTCTAAATAAAAAATGGTTATAATTGGATTCAATCTTTTTATGGATCTAGTCTGTATGGTCCATTATAAATGTTTTATATATAAAAAGTTTTTCTCCATCGCTTTTAATTTTTGAGTTATGATTAAGTTAATTTTCGAAAATCAACAATTTTGATGTTTAGTCCATTTAAAGCTTCTAAATAAGGAATGGTTATAATTGGGTTCAATCTTTTTATTAATCTGATCTTTATGGTCCATTATAAAGGTTTTATGTGTAAAAAGTATTTCTCCATCGCATTTAGTTTTTGAGTTATAATTGAATTAATTTTCGAAAATCAATAATTTTGATGTTTAGTCCATTTAAAGCTTCTCAATAAAGAATGGTTATAATTAGGTTCAATCTTTTTATGGATCTAGTCTGTATGGTCCATTATAAATGTTTTATATATAAAAAGTTTTTCTCCATCGCTTTTAATTTTTGAGTTATGATTAAGTTAATTTTCGAAAATCAACAATTTTGATATTTACTCGATTTAAAGGATCTTAATAAAGAATGGTTGTAATTGGGTTAAATCTGGTTATGGATTAAGTCTTTTTGGTCCATAACAAAGGATTTATGTGTAAAACTCATTTATGTTTTCTTTACAAACCTGTATTAATAAAGACTCAAAAGTCTTTATTTTTTTTGTAATTGATGTCGTTGTGAAGAAACGAATTTTTAAATAAATTATATTTATTTGTATCAATTTCTATGATATCTGAAAACGGCTTCGTTTTTGTGATTTTATCACAAAAAATTAACATATTTTAGTGCTGTAGAGTCAATATTAGGACACCTGTATATTGTCAATAAAAATATTTTAAAAACTAAAAAGTAAATAAAAAATCATTAATTAATTAGATTAACTTTTCTTTTTACAAAATTATATTAATATATATTATATTATCTAAATAAAACTTTTTTTAATTACTTTAAAAAAATAATTACATATTTTTTGTCATCGCAAATAAATTGAGGTTATGTTACTTGTCAAAATTGACATTTCGTGAATTTTATGATTGACAAAGTGGAAAATTATACTCCAGCAATAAAAGAAAAAAGGTTGTTGTAGAATTCGCGTGTCGGAAACAATAATAGTTAAAAGTGCGTACAAAGCTTTTTTATTGTAAACTCGAATGAATTATAATTTACAAAGGATGCCGATACCAAAACGAAACCTAAGCAAATACTTAATTTGTGGGAATTGCTTTTTTTCAATTGTACTATTTTTTTGCAATGTATTGAGGGAGGTGCGGAAAAAGACGAAATTCGGGCGGGCACGTGTCTTGCGCAGTTGCACGTTCTTTGCCGGCGTTCTCGTTCTATTCCTGTTTAACATGGCGTTCACGTGTTGTTACTCTTCGTTATGGTGGTCTGTAGACGACGATAATTAAAAGGTAAAAAATTAGCGTAGGCACGCGATGATAATCCCCATTCAGTTACGAGATAAAAAAGAGTAGGGTTTTATATATATTTGAAGTAGCGCGTCTCTCCCTATACAGTACATTTTGATCTTGCGCAATTTCTAAAGTTAGTTCGACTCGGTTTTTAGTAGTCGAGGTCTACCACGTGCTTTCCCCCATCGAAATCCGTACCGAATCGATCGGAGTATCCGCAGTTTACGTGTTACCCGGCGTCTGAGTTTTTAACCAACAGTTCACGCTGCGAAAGTATTCGTAGTAAACACGAACGCAGTTATATCATAAAAAATTAACTATTTATCATCAAATATGAGTGTGTTAAACTTATTGTTCAATGGGTACGTAAACGATCAATAATTTTCGTTTTACTTCTCTTTGCTTCTCCCGCCTCTATTCAATAATACCCACTTTATTGATTTTGTAATAATATTCGCAACCGAATTTCATCAACAGTTCCGTTTGCAATTCGATCTTTCTATTTTCGGTATAATCTATAAATGTAGAAAACTTAATTTTGTTCGACGAAATTCTATTTGTAACATTTCTTTCTAGAACACCATCCAGTATGATGAACCACAGGGGTCAATAGCAAAAAATTCAAATAAGATTCGTTACCATACCTATCCTTTTTTTAAAATAATTTCATAAATACAAAATAAATCAATTTTTTGAGATCAAAAACGAAAAAATAATGGAACCATATTCAACTGCACTCTATTGGATTGTTATTGTGGGCTTCATTATTGCCTTCGCCCTTGCTTTTGGTATTGGGGCCAATGACGTCGCTAATTCATTTGGAACAAGCGTTGGCTCAAAAGTGCTCACCCTCATGCAGGCATGTGTTTTGGCCACTATATTCGAAATTGCTGGATCTGTACTTATTGGTAAGTAAATTATTAGCTTGGGAAAACAAATTGATTAGATATCATTATGTTTTATGGGAACATATGGGCATTAATAAAAATATTAATTGTTAAAACTGGATAAATCCAATTTCTTCCAGCACTAATTGGAACATTTTCTTATAAAGCTGATTGAATGTCATTTAATCAAAAATACAAAATGAATAAATAGTTAATTAAGAAGTTGAAAACCCCAAAAATAAATTTGATTACTGAAATATAATCACTATTTACATATTTTATATTAGAATTTGTAAATAATAAACATCACAAACAGTAAATTCAATATAGTTAAGTTAATTTGCAATTCAAAATTAAGAAAACATTTTTATTGCTCTTCCTAATTCTTAAAATAACCTCATTTTAATGTTTGCTAAATATGACGTGTTTAGTTGGGTATAACAGGAAGTTTTTATAAATTTTTGAGATTTCATGATTACTTTTAGAATTATAAATACACATGTGACTCATAATTAGATAAAAAATTGCATATAAAAAAGTAAGCTTTAAATAGAAAATTTGTTGGAAAACAGAATTTACTTAATTAGTGTTCAAATTATTTGATGGATCATAAAAGTTTGTTCTTATCACGTTTTTGATGATCAATATTAAAGTTTTGCGTTTACTAACTATAAAATGGTTATAATGTTGAAAGATTTTAATACATGTAAATTTATTATGGTTATAAGCGTTGTATAGGCACCCAATCAAACAGTAAAAGATTCTAACTTTTTTAGTAAGAACATAATCAAAATTTGTAATATGTTATTTTAGGAAAAAATGTTACTTTGTCAATTTTAATGAAAGTTTAAACGATATATCGCTGCCAAGCCAAAACGGCATAAATGCCAAAATAGTCACTTTTTACTTAGCTACACCAAGCGGTATAATCGCTACAATATTGTTTTAAAGTTTGCGCTTATTCTTATTTCATTAGGACGTGATGAAATTTTTTTGTGTTTCTTGGGAAATCCAGTAAATGTCATTTATTCCGTTTTGGATTGGCAGCGTAGATATTTTGAATCACTAATATGTGCAGCAATGAAGGTATGTCATGGTAGAATCAACGGCGTTGAAGAAACGAAGGTATCAAAATACAGTGTGTTAATTAATTATCGTACGTCATCATTACAATTATGCAACCAACATCACAGTATTGGTATTGCAATACGCGATTTGCGTATTAGGTTGTATACTTGCAATGATGACGTCGGGTACGATAATTAATTAACTCAATGGATTTGGTAAAATTACATTTAAGACATTAGAAAGATTATCTGTTCTCATTCTTTCTGCCAGAACTAAGTATACGTTTTCACACGTTTCTTGTGTTTTGAGTCCATAAAAATCTCTTAGCAAATTGGTCTTGCACTGATAATAGGTTTTTTCATCTTACACCATTTGAAAGGATTTCCTAAAATGTGATTTACTTTAATATGTTCATAATTTTGGCATTTTACTTTTAACTTTGTTGCATTCGACAATGGTAATAGCATCTATATATTGTGTATATATTTCACATCTAGATTTACCACAAAAGATGGCCAAGTCATAGAAAGATTTAGGAATATCGCAAGATTTTCATTATTTAATACATTTTACGTATTATGTTTACTTAACACTTCCTGCCTTAGTCAACGTCTATTTCAATAAATTAGAGTAAGCAAAACATCGGAGGAAAATATTTTTGTTAAAGATACTAAAGAAAATAAAACTATTTATTTCTAGTATATGTTAGAATAAAGTTTTGAATATGACGTAGAAGATCGGTTGAGTGGTTTTTAATGCTTTTAGTTTAAAAAATTATTGTAGTGTCATGCAAAAAGTATTTCGCATTATTGCATTTCAAAGTGTTATTGTTTACACTCGTACGCTATCTTTGCCAGAATCTATGATAGTATGGATGGATTTTACTTCTATATAGGAATGTCCTTAATGTTTGCAAAACATTATGTTCCAATATAAATAAGCTGATTCCTTTTCTGTTCACCATATATACTTGAAAATTAACTGATTTTGTTTGAGGATGGTATTTATAAAAAGTTACACAGTAACTAGTATTCGAGATTTCGTGCTTTTAAAGTTGTTTACTGCTTTTTTCGTGGTTTAAAGAAAGTTACACCTATAACTTTTTTAAAATTTATAAAATATACTCTATCTTAACAGCATTCTCCCATATTCTTTTTCATAAATTCTTTTGTAGGTTGGATTGGAAAGGGGGGGAAACTTTTAATATGACGCTTGATCCAAGAAATAATATGTGTTGCTTTTGTTCTCACAACTTCCGTTCACGTTTATCACTATTGGCATAAACGCCAATATCATTTGTAGCGGTTACGGCATTCTCTACTGGCCCCTGATCAATATACACACTAAGTTTGGCTTTGCCCATAAGGTAATAATAAATCCGTCTATCTTTTTTACTTCTAACCCATCTGAACGAAGAAACGGCATTATCAAAAAGAATGTAATCTCTTTGGCGATCAAAACTCTACCTTTCAATGTATGCAATACGCAGTAAATATAATCAATATTTTCGACTTCTTTTCGGGCCGTTTAATTCCTTTATTTGCTTGACTTCTGGCAGAGATCAATTCAGCTCATATGTGCGTCTTGTTTAACGCATTTTTCTTTTCTGAAGATTTATTGGAGGTTCTTTTGAGTCTAAAAGGTTGCCTAACACCAGAAAAGAATCTTAAGATTAGTTGTGTTCCTGCGATCCCTCTTTCAAGTATTCCAAGAAAATTTCCAACCTTAAAGAGCATTTGTGCGATTGTTGTATTTACCCAGACTTCAAAGCCTCATCGGATTATCTCAAAGAACAGTGCAGCAGCAAAGACGGAGATGAAATTATTTGCTTCACTATTTTATAACATGGATGTACAAGACGCTCATTCGTCCTGTAGTAAGCTATGGATTTGAAACATGGACAAAATGTTAGGAGAAAAATCTTACGAAGGATATATATAGGCCAAAATATGATACAAATATGGCTCAATGGAGACAACTAATAAACTAGGAGATATGAAAACTGCAGGAAGGGACAGAACTATCAACGTGGATTAAAAACCAGAGGCTGAGGTGGCTGGGACACGTATGAAGAATGTCGGCAGAGAGTACTCATTCAAACTAGAAGGGAGAGAAATATGAAAAAAATAACAAATAAAAGAAATAAACTGATAAATTGCTGTTTAAACTGAAAACAACCCAGAACAATACAACATGCAAATTTCTACCAAAAGACACAATAAATGGTCATTGCCAAAGCTCCAACAGGTTATGCAGTTTAAATGTCTAGGAGTCGATATATCAAGCAATAAGAACACCAGACATGAAGTGAAATGACAGGCAACCAAAACCACAGTAATATCTGGTTGCCTACGGGACATCATCTGGCGAAACAAACACATGACGGCAAAAAATAAAGTAAGAATCTATAAAACCGATGCAAGGTCACTGCTAACATACACAGCCAAGACCAGAGTCGAAGCATCAACAACGAAACAAGTCATAAGAGTCACAGAGATGGAACCTTAACTATTACACTCTTACAGGCTTAAGCTTGCGAAACAGGGTAAGAAGCGAGGTACAGGATGTGGTCAGGTGGACAAAATCGAGAAGAAGATATTGGAGGAATCATGTTGAAAGGATGGGTGAGGAATGTTTGGCAGAGAACATCCAAACGCAAAAACCAGACTCCCAGGAAAACCACATAAATACTAACATGGGAGTTAGACGTCGTCATCACAAGATAACAATCCATATAAACGGAAGTGGGAAGAGGAAAGAAAGAAATGAAGAGCAGAAATGATAAAAAAATAGAGCTAGTCCCTAAAATAAGAAGAAGAAGCAATAAACAATACGTTGTATCTAAACAACTCAGGAAACAAGTCAACTTACCTTCTAAACACCGAAATAAATTAGTAATAATAATCGTCTACATCATCTTTGATCTTCTTTTTTCGTTCCACGTTTCTAGTTTTATTCCCATTTTCATTCAGTTGCCTTGTTAACACCTCATGGAATAGAATCTTCACATCTATAACTTTAAAAGTAGAATTAGCTCAAGCAACATACTACTTGCAATGATTACCTGCCTTAGCCATTTCATCAAGTTCTTTATTGGTGCTTTTGGATTGTCCTTGTGCATTGTCCATTACCATCCATCGACATTCTCCTTAGAAGTATACTCATCCTCATTTCTTCTTCATAATATAAAGAACTACAAAACCGTCTTCACTTCCAATATGGACTTTACAATACGGAATTCTCGTCGGTAGCTCTAAAAATATACATAAAAATACAAGAAAAACGCCTAGGAAAGGAAACGGAAGATAAATTGGAAGAGGAAAAAGTGGCGTTTCGCTACCCACCAGGCAGTCACAAGACCACATATGAGAAATCTTGCATAGAAATGGGTAAGAACACATACCTAGATTTGTGGACCTAACAGCAGCCTTTAATACAGTACCAAAAGAAGAAATAGGGAAAGCCTTACAAGCTTTACATATAAATAAAAAATTACAAAGAACAATTGACAGTGTATATGTATAGTAAGGTAAAAGGGTGCGTCAGGCTAAATGGAGAAATGTTCGAAAACTTTAATATGGAAAAGGGTATGAAACAGGGGCACAGCCTGAGTCTCTCCTTTATGGATCAAATAATTAAGACGTATAAAATAAGACCAAGACCTTCCACAATATGTTACTACAAGTTAACACCAATGAAGACCTTTGACCTAATGTATGCAAACGATCTAATACTGATAGCAAGTACATAGAAAGATAGCCACCTGGAAAACCTATTTGGAAGAAAGGGGACTGCAAATAAATATAAAGAAAACCAAGATTACTAAAGGGGAAAAGGATAAAAACATAAATATGATAAATAGGGAGAGACTGGAAATTGTGGATAAATTTGAATACTTAGGCACGATTATTACTGAGACTGGAACAATAGACAGAGAAATACAAAATAGAATACAAAAAGCAAGTAATGTATATTACCAAATGATAACACAATTGTGAGCAAGAAGGAAGTAAGAACAAGTACAAAATTAATAATTTATAAAACTATATATACACTAACCTCACATATGGAGGAAGATCGAGCACATACTGGAGGAATCATGTTGAAATGATGAGGAAGAAAGTTTGGCAGAGAACATTCAAACGCAAAAACCAGACTCGTAGGAAGACCACATAAACGCTAGTATGGAAGTTGGACGTCGTCATCACAAGATAACAACTCATATAAACAGAAGTAGGAAGAGGAAAGAAAGAAATGAAGAGCAGAAATGGAAAAAAACAGGGCTAGTCTCTAAAATAAGAAGAAGAAGCAAGAAACAATACGTTGTATCTAAACAACTCAGGAAATAAGTAAACTTACCTTCTAAACACGGCAATGGATTAGTAATGGCAGTTCACTATACATTATAATACAGTGTCAATTGTCTACATCATCTTTGGTATTCCTTTTTCGTTCCACGTTTCTACTTTTATTTCCATTTTCATTCAGTTACCTTGTTAACACCTCATGGAATAGAATCTTCACAGCTGTAACTTTAAAAGTAAAATTAGCTCCAGCAGCATATTTAATTTGCAATGATTACCTGCCTTAGGCATTTCATCAACTTCTTTATTGGTGCTTTTGGATTGTCCTTGTGCATTGTCCATTACCATCCATCGCCATTCTCCTTATAAGTATACTTATCCTCATTTCTACTTCATAATATAAAGAATTCATCTACAAATCTGTCTTCACTTCCAATATGGACTTTGAATAGCATTTTGTAGAGGGTCTTCATAAACCTGCGCAGAAACCATATAAAATATAGGCAGAAGTAATATCTAAAACAAAGTATATCTCTTACACCGATTTATTAAATCTTCCTCTTCGTGGAAAATCTTGCTTTGCCTAAAGTAATCATTTGTACAAGTCCAGGTATATTTGTACCTATTCAGACTAAACAAGACACAATTGCTGCACATATTCTTGATTCTAAATATAAATTTACTACATTTATACGTTCGCATATTATATCTTGAAGGTAATAATAATTAAAGAGTAATCTATTAATTAAGATCATACTTTTGAAATTATTTCCAAGCAAAAATTAATTTTTTGTACAATTATTATTTTTGCAGGTTACAAAGTATCGGATACAATGCGAAAAGGTATCTTAGACATAACAATGTACAAAGACGAAGAAGTCCTGTTAATGTTAGGCTGTTTAAGCGCGTTGGCTTCAAGCGCAGTTTGGCTTTTGGTTGCAACATTTTTCAAGTTACCAATTTCTGGAACACACAGCATAGTTGGGTCATCAATAGGTTTTAGTTTAGTTGCAAAAGGAACTAAAGGCTTACATTGGAATACTTTATTTACAATAAGTAAGTTGTATAATCCTCTTTTTGATGTAACCCCATTAATAATTGATTATTTTTGTTAGTTGGATCTTGGTTTATCTCACCTGTACTTAGCGGAATTACCTCATTACTTGTATATTGGATAATAAAAAAATTAATTTTATCAAAAAAAGATTCTTTTGAGGCCGGCCTCTTAGCTTTACCAATTTTCTACGGATTAACTATAATTATAAACGTATTTTCGATTATCCATGATGGACCCAAATTACTTTACATGGATAATATACCAATGTGGATCGCAATTGTTGCAAGTTTATGTATCGGAATTATTACAATAATCGTCGTAAGGCTCTTTGTTGTCCCATGGCAAAAGAAGAAAATTATGAGGGACATTCAGCGAGAAAACGCCGTCAATTTTAATATTGGAGAATCATGCGGTAAGAAAACGATCTTTTTTTAGTTTTTTTTATAAAGGTCGAAGTCGCATTTGACTTTATGCCAAAAATGAATGTAATTAAGTTCCGGGCACCTATTATAGGTTGTTTATTTTTGGAAAGTCATGTGAAAGTTTTTAATTTATTTTTATTTTCTACGACTTAATTAAAAAAGCTGAGCATAGAAAATTAGATAAAATTAAGTGTTTTAAAAATACATGCTGAGGTTTTATTATTTTTTTTTTGAGTCATCAATGTTAATGGTACAAGAATAGTTAATATAATGGAAAAATTTTAAGTTGATAAATATGTTTTTTTTAAATATTCCATTTAGATTTGTTTTATTGATAACAAAAATGTGTAACAGAATAAGTTAATACCTTATCTTAAAACTATCAAAACAAGTTGTTAAGAAACGTTTAAACTGACTCAACTTAATATTTATACCGGATTTGAATATTTTTAACTCAATCGTTAATATTATCACGCTATAATTTAAATTATTTTGCTATTCTTGTATTATAACGATAAATTCTTGGATTTCTTCCAAAACCTACATTTTAATATTATAAAATAACATATTTCAATGTAAATGACTTTTCTTATCCATTTCATTCATAGATACATAAACAACTTAATTTTTAATTTTTTTTTTTAAATTTTTATTAGATCCTACTCCAGAGGGAAGTCCAAAACGATCAAATCGTAATTCTCATATAAGCGATCGTCAAATAACGGTAATAACGGAAGCGAATGAAATGCTTCCCATGGACAAAAGCACAAAAAAATACGTGTTCCCGTTTAGTAATTCCGATAAAAACGGTTATACCCCTGCTAATGGTAATAATCAAATCGTCGAAAGTGTGATGACACCAAATTCAAGCGCAGTACCCCTCATCGTTAGCCAAGTAAAGAAGAGTAATGGAAACGGGGATGTTGAAATGCAAGAAATTGGAGAACAAGAAACACCTCAAGTATCGAAACTTTTTAGTTTCTTGCAAATTTTGACAGCTATATTTGGGAGTTTTGCCCATGGAGGAAATGACGTCAGGTAAAAAATTACTAATTATTATATTTTCTTTCCAACTTATTTAAATAATTTTTTTTTGTTTATAATAGTAATGCCATTGGTCCATTGATTGCTGTTTGGTTAATTTTTAAAGAAGGTTCTGTGGAACAAAAATCTGAAACACCTTTTTACCTCTTAATTTATGGTGGAGTTGGAATCTCCGTTGGTTTATGGCTGTGGGGCCGCAGGGTCATACAAACTATTGGTGAAGATCTCACTAAAATTACACCTTCTACGTAAGTATCAATGATATTCAATCTTTTCATAATTTCAAATATGTAAAATCTTGATATAATGGATTAATACAGGGAACAGAGCGTGTTAGGTCTAGTGTTAGTTCAATCAAAATATACAATTTAACACTGAATTATAATTAAAACTAGAACTAACACTAAACCTAGAACTAGAAAGATTCGGGTTTATACATTTATGAACTTGGAATAGAGCAACACAAACATAAAACAAAGATGACTTAAGATTGAGGAGTTGGAGAAGACTGAAAAACAGGAAGAGTACCAAAGGAAGTTAATGGATAACCTAATTATAATGGAAGAACAAGCGAATAGACAAGACTGGAACATACACGTCGAAAAGGCAAAGCAAAAACGGCAAAATGTAAAAGAAACCATAATCAAAATGGCGGAGGAGAATGTGGAATGAAAACCACATTAATTATAACTAGAAACGAACAAGATGGTGGAACAACACAGTAAAAGAAAAGGTACAGGAGAAGAAACGAGTATGAATTAGATACAACCAATGTGGAAAGCAACAAACTAACGAGGAATATCGCCAAAAACGAAATGAGGCAAAGGAAATTATAAAGAAGTTATGGCAAATTCCTGGGAAAGATTTCACAGGTAATCAGAAACAATTCTGGAATACGATCAGGAGATTGAAAGGAAGCCAAAGAAAACAGATAAGGAAATATTAAGGGCATAGAACGAACATTACAACGCAAAATTTAATAAAGAGGAAACGATACAAACGCTACAAGGAAGTGAAGGGAGAGGAAGACAATGAGGTTGAGGATGAGGAAGGAATGGCGGAAGAGGAGATAGGGATGGAAGAAGTAGAGGTAGCCCTAAAGACAAGAAAGATAATATAGCTCTGGAGTTTCTAAAGAAGGGATAAACTGAAGACAGAGATGTGGGAAATATATAAGCAGGTATGGTGTATGGAGACAATACCAAGCGATTGAGAAAATAATATTATTATCCCAATACATAAGAAGGGGGAAACCAGAAAATGTGAAAATTAAAGAGCGTCGGTTGTTCTAAAAATATACTCAAAAATACTAGAAAAACGCCTAAGAAAGGAAACAGAAGATAAATTGGAAGAGGAAAAAGCGGCGTTTCGCGACCCACCAAGCAATCACAAGACCACATATCAGAAATCTTGCATAGAAATGGGTAAGGACACATACCTAACATTTGTGGACCTAGCAGTAGTCTTTAATATAGTACCAAAAGGAGAAATATGGAAAACCTTACAAGCTTTAAATATAAACAAAAAATTACAAAGAACAATTGAAAGTGTATATAGTAAGGTAAAAGGGTGCGTCAGGCTAAATGGAGAAATGTCCAAAAACTTTAATATAGAAAAGGGTATGAAATAGGGGTACAGCCTGAGCCTCTCCTTTATGGATCAAATGATTAAGAAGTGTAAAACAAGACCAAGACCTTCCACAATATGTTAGATGTAGGGAAAATCAAGATTATGCATATAACTAAAGGGGGAAAGGATAAAAACATAAATATGACAAATAGAGAGAGACTGGAAATTGTGGATAAATTTGAATACTTAGGCACCATTATTACTGAGAATAGAACAATAGACTAAGAAATACAAAATAGAATACAAAAAGCAAGTAATGTATATTACCAAATGAATAACACAATTGTGAGCAAGAAGGAAGTAAGAACAAGTACAAAATTAAGAATTTATAAAACTATACAGGATGTATTTAAATTGATGCGAATGATTTTAAGGGGTGATTTTTCAACGAAAATTTTGGTCAAAACCACATATCCTCCAAGTTACAGCCCTCTAAAATTAAAGGAAAGAATGATTTTTCTTTAATAAATCCACTGTGGAGGAATTTGAAGGATGAAATTTGACAGATAACTATTACTAATAAAATGACACTTTTTGACAATTTTTATAATCCTAAAATGTTATTACAAGGGGGCGAAGAACTTTTTAATGCGTATACATTTTTCTATTTAAAAACTTGATTTAAATAGTGGGATTCAATACGCAACTTTTTTGTCTCTTAACATTTTCTCCTGAAATCGTTAGTTTAATCACAAAAAAATAAAATAATACACAAATTCACGTGAATTAATTCAGAGCTTGGTTATGATTAGTCAAAAAAATGAAGTTATATCAAATTGATCTCAGCATTATTTTATTTTTTGTGATCAAACTAACAATTTGTTAGTTGTAAAATGTCAAGAGATAAGTTACAGATTTTTTCCCCTAATTTTAGAGGGCTGTAACTTGGAGGAGAAGTGGTTTTGACTAAAAAGTTATATGAAAGACCCCCCTTAATTTTCGCTAAAAAATCACCTGCTAAAATCTTTCACGTGAATTTAGATACACCTGTATATACACCAACCTCACATATGGAGCTGAAACATGGCTGATGAGAGATAAACACAAATCAGAAATAACAGCAAATTTTTAAGAAAGATTGTGGGGAAAACAAGAAAGATCGGATTAGAAACAAAACTATAAGAGACGATTTAGAACAAATACCGCTGGTAACTGAAATATAAAACAAACAGCTGAGCTGGTATGGACTCTTACGATTAGTCAGAATGCCAGAGGAGTAATGAAAATGGGAATAGTTGGAAAACGAAGGAGAGGCAGACCAAGGATAAAATAGGAGAATGGAGTGGACGAGATAGTGCGCAAGACAGGAGGAAGTGAAGAATATGGCAAAGAATAGACATAGTTTTAGAAGATGGACAACACCCCAACGCTATGATGGCATCTAGGGGAAATAATAAAGAAGAATAGAACAACTTGGGTAATAACTAATAACCCAAGTTGAATTCTATCTATAAACGCTAACATTTATTATTCAAATATATTGATGTATTAAATAAATAATTAAGTCCGTTTTAATGAGATTCGTTATATCAAGGTTTTACTGTACATCTAAATTCGCATAAACCTCATCACAAAGGTTAATACATATTGAAAACTCTAAAATAAAAATAACTTAGCAAAACTAAACCTAAAATTTGTTATCTGGGATAATCTCATCCATCAGGATATTTAAACTGTTCTGCGTTGCATAAACATAAATTTTTTTTATAGCGGTTTCACAATAGAAATTGGAGCAGCATTTACAGTATTATTTGCAAGTAAAATTGGATTACCAATCTCGACTACTCATTGTAAAGTAGGTTCTGTAGTATTCGTCGGATATTTTAGTTCTTCAAAGAAGGGCGTTGACTGGCACTTGTTTAGGTAAAATTAATTTTTTTTGACAATAATTTTTTTATCTAAATTTCTTTTTTTTTTGCAGGAATATAATTTATGCCTGGGTAGTAACGGTGCCTGTTGCGGCTTTGCTCTCAGCTGGTTGCATGTTTCTGTTACAAAATGTTGTCAGCTATTAATTATTTAATTGTTTCCAAAACAAAAATTATTTAAAAAATAATATAAGAATTAAAGCCGTTACGTCAGGATTAATTAATTCAATAAAGTATCTACTTTTTCGTACATACACTGTTATAGTTTTTACAAAAAAAAAATACTACGGTACTTCTCACCTTGCCCAGGCAAATAAATATACCCAAAAAACAAAAGGAATCTGTGATCTTTAAAAGAATAAATTTGCCGTTAAACCGGTGTTGTTTTTTCTTCTTTTTTTTTTAATTTGTGGAGAGTGTTGGATTTTTGTTTGAATGGATGTAACTTAAAAACCACATTAATTTATTTTCTAGAATATATTTTGTATTACTGTTGTAACAATTGGAGATGCGCATGTTGAAAAACAAAATAGAAGGAAAGTACGGAGACTAGGTCAATAAATTTTTTTAGAAAAAAATCCCAAACTCTTGTTATTATTTTCTTTTTATCCTCATTTTTTTCCGCTCGGTACCTAATTTTAATTTCAGAATTAATAAATGTGGTGTAATTAATATGTAAAAATATTAAATTGCTTATAAACCATTTAAATTGCTTCATAAATAATATACGAAATATAGTACAAAATAAACTAATCCAACGGCTTTTTCTTGTTTAGATGTAAGTATACTTTATAATACAATTGCGCTAACGAAGAAAACCATTTTTTTTTTTTTTTAATTTTTCACTGAACCTCTTCTTTTATGTTCGATTCATCTATCGTCACCTCATTCACAAAGACCTCATCTTCAAAAGTTTTCGTCGCCAGCTCATTATCAAACAGATTCTCACTTAAAAACGTCTCATCATCCGGCAATATGGCTTCATTTTCACATTCACCAGGAGTTTCCATTTTTACTTCACTATCAAAAAATGTTTCAACTTCATCTACAAACTCTTCCTTTACATTTGTTGTTGAGCCCAAAGGACTTACACTAACAGCTTTTGTTTGTAGCACACCTTTATCCTAAATACAATAAAAAAAAAGACCGAAATTATGAAAAAAGTTTTAAATAATATTCGGATTTGTACGTACATTGAAACTTACTTCAAGGCTGTTTTGAGGCACTACTTTGAGTACAACATTTTTACCAGATGCAGTCTTGACTAATATCAAATTAGAAGCGTTTGTAGTAATTTGATGAGCGTTAGTAACAATATTTTCTTCAAATGTTTCAACATCAACACTTCCACCCCTTAAAAATATATAAAGAATTATTACTATTTTTAAATACAATTCAAAGAAATTATTATTCAATATAGGTTGAATAAAAAACAATAAAATCGAAATTTCCTGTTTATCATAAGTCAAATTTTAAACGTTAACTTGTAAGTTTAAAGTTGATGATTTAGATTTTAGATTTTACCAGTATTTACATAAATTTAATACTTTTAGTGTTTTCATCATACAAAATTCGATGCTGAAGTGTTTTAATTTTTTATTGCTAAAATAATAAAAGCGGCTATGCAAATGACCTTAATTAATTTTCTTCTGAGTATGTTGTAATAATTCTAAAATACTTGTTGCATAGCGCAAATTCCACCACAGTACAATGATTTTTCAAACAATGAAACGCGGAACATAAATCATGTTTTGCTCAAACGATTTTTAATGCGGAATCATAACATAATTTTCATACCAATTGTTACTGCTTCGTTTATTGTCTTGTTATGTTAAACATTTTAGAGGTAAAATCACATTGGTAAATTTAAACAAAAATAACTGATCGATTTAGACAAAAGATACGTCTTTTACCTACAACTACATTTTCCTGGACTTTATTTCTATTTTAAAAGCATGGGAAATCAGGATAATTATTAGTACTTTGGAGCACATCTTTTTAAAAATTAACACCAAGAAATCAATTTTATTGAAGTAGTACGTCCTCAGAAAAAACATGTCAAAGGAAATAGTTTCAATAACACTGAAAAGAAGACAACGGTATTTGTCCTCTTTAAATAGAGGAGTTTTCTGATAACAGAAATAAAACAGAGAAATCAAGTCAAAAATAGAAAAAATACCTTTAATCTCGCTTTTTATTAAAAAGTTTTATTTACACAAGGTATCGATTTCGGCTTTTTTGTTTGTTGTTACTAATACGCTTTCAATATTAATTTATTTCACTTCTGCCTATTCAGTTTCAAACTTATGAAATTTCATTAAAACTGTTAAGGACACTGATCTCACTCCAATAAAGTGATGTCAATGAGAATGCCTTTAATGTGAATTCTCACAGATATTATTTTGAACTACATTAATTAATCAAAATAAACCTATTCTTAATAAAATTATAACATGGACAAGTAATTTTGATAATATACTACAAACTAAATGTAGTCTGACTTATATGTCTATAACCATTTTCTAATCATTTCACGCATTCCTATGAGTTTTTCAGAGTTTCTTGACTTTTCATTGATTGGAAATAATGTTTATTTTAGTTTATACTACTTCATATATTTTTGTTTATTACATCCTGCCTGATGATGCCCCCTAGCTGGTATTTAAAAATCAACACCGATCCCTAAAGTAAATAAAACTTTTTCATAAATGACATGAAATTAAAGCTATTTTTCTATTTTAAATTAATTCATTAAATTCGTAATATGGATAAATAATATACTTATACAGGGTGTGTCAAATGTCTTGAATATAGCCAATAACTTGGTCATTTGTGGTTTTAAAGAAAAATGTTTCAAATAAAAGTTTGTTTATTAATTATGGCGCATTTTTTGATATATTTGCTTGTTTGCATTGTTTTTGTTTCATTGCTATGGCAACCAACATTGTTATTTTAAATGGAATGCATACAAGGACAGTAGAATCTAACAGGACTGTTACATCCATTGTATTTTTGTAGTACACTAGGAGTTGGCTGCCCGCACTCTACGTCACACTATTTGCCACGCCTGGTAACTGTCTCTGTTTTTAGAGGTTATATGATACGTCTAGACATTAATACGTCTAAAAACATAAAACTTCAAAAACGTCTACGATATAACCTGTAAAAAACATAGCAAAAGCATAGACCATAACAACAGCTGGGCGTGGAAAATGGTGTGACGTAGTTTGCGGGCAGCTTGTTACAACAAGGGATGTGGCAGTCCTGTTAGATTCTACTGTCCTTGGAATGCATATGTTTTTAGTAGAGAATAAATCCCTCTACGCGATGAACATATCAAATCATATGGTTGTATAAGAAAAAAATGCATCTTTTGAAAATTAGAATCAAAGTAGTTGAAATGACGTCGTTGACTGCTTTAAATGTCAAAAAATTGAGAGTTTCAACAATTATGAAATATTGATGATGTTAATGATGCGTACAGTGATAGAAAGCGCACTCTAAGTAAAGTTTGTACACTGTTCAATAATATTTACACGGATATACAGATTACATAAAACGTGAACCACAAAAACTAAATTTCTTTAAAAAACCTAAGCCGAGATATGGAAACTACAACAAATGTTCAAATTGGGCATCATTTACATCCAAACAATTTTGAAGACCACGTCTCAAGCTATCCACACTACTCAAAAGTATATCAATTGAGATTTGTTGTATTACAGTTGTTATTCTCTCAAATAACTGAGGACTAAAAGCGATAAATCAGGTGACTAAGCTGGCCATTCAATCGGTCCTCGTCTGCCAATTCATTTCCCAGGAAAACGTACATTTAGGTACTGCCGCACCTGAACACCATAATGCGGAGGTGCTCCATCTTGTTGGAATATGATGTCATCAACGATTCCACCATTATCCCCTAGGAACAAAGCTTCAACCACAGGCACTACTTCATTTTGCATTAGATTTAAATATCTTTCTGCATTTAATGTTGTGTTTATAAAAAAAGGTGAAATAACTTGTTCACGTAGAATGCCAACCCAAACATTTATCTTTTGTGGATATTGATTATTGATTATTCTGTGGTATGGCCTTCTTGAATCCAATATGAAATGATGTCCGTTTAACAAATAATTCGCCTCGTCGGAGAAACGGACGTTAAATGGTAATTGTTGATATACAAGGTTTGTATCTCTCATCAGCCATGTTTCAGCTCCATATGTAAGAGTCGGTGTATACAGGCTCGTTCAGTTTTTAATCGGGAAACTTTACTAGTACTTGCCAAAATAACACAAGCTTTTTATATAAACATAGGGTCGCAACTCTTCTGTTTTCGAGCTATAAGCTGGCAAAGTTGAGTCAAAAATTTACATTTTATCTTTTAGTTCGGGTATAAGTAAACCGTAGAATTTGAAAGTTTTTATGTATGTACTACTTCAAGTAATAAGGTAAATACCTTATCTTCAACCATACCTTAAACTTCTCTAGCGCCCTCTAAGGTGATGAAATTCAAAACCCTTTTGATTCTTTATAACAACTTTTTAACGCCATGGAATATTAACATAAAACAATATTGATTGCAAACAAAGCTTATTCATTATTGTTACTTTTTTGTCCCTTTAGTTTTTTCCTTAAAAGTAATAGTTTTAGCATAAAATATGCTAAATTGTACTGTAAAGCGCTGCTATTATTAATAAAAATTCTTTTCTTTATAGCTGGCTATGGAAGTTGTGCACTTACTAGTACTAACTAAATAACACCAATTAATTGTGATTTTCGTAAGAAAAACCATAAATAAGATGGATATCTGTCTGTACAAATTACGTTGATTTAAACACAATTAAAAAATGGATACTCTTGCTTAATAACACTCAAAAATTATTAATAATCATCAATAATTATGAGGATGAAACTTACAAGTTCTCAGAGCCAACTTTTAGAATAATTTTAGCTAAACATGACGGCACATAGCGGTACATGGCATTATATTTTAATTTTTTACACGGAAACTATTAACTTTAAGGGAATTACTAAAGAGACAAAAAAGTACCACTAAAGAATGAGCATTACAACCCATATTTTTTTATGTTAACATTCCATAGCATTAAAAAGTTTTAATAAAAAAAATCAAGAAGGTGGTGAATTTCATCCCTTTAGAGGGCGCTAGGGAAGTTTAAGGTATGCTTGAAAATAAAGTCTTAACTAGTAGTAAATACATACAAAGTTTCAAATTCTGTGGTTTACTTACAGCCGAAATACAAAACAAAATGTAAATTTTTGGCTCATCTTTGATCACTCATAGCTCGAAAACAAAAGAGTTGTTATATAAAAATTTTTTGTTATTTTGGCAAGTGTTACATCCTAGTAAAGTTTCCCGATTAAAAACTGAACCAGCCTGTATATACTTCAAAGTCTACTTTGATTCTAATTTGCTGATTTAATATTTTCAGAAAACGCATTTTTTTCTTATACAACCATATGATTTGATATGTTCATCGCGTAGAGGGATTTATCCTCTATCAAAATATGCAAAAAAAACATATGCATCCAATTTAAAACAGCAATGTTGGTTGCCACAGCAACGAAACAAAAAACAATGCAAACAAGCAAATATCGCCAAAAAAATGCGCCACAATTAATTAATTCTTTAAAACCACAAATGGCAAAGTTATTGACTATAGTCCATACATTTGACACACCCTGTATAGAACACATACATATAAGGAAAATTTAAGAAGGAACACGCTGACAAATTATGAAGAGTAGATGAAGGAAGTGGTTAATAACGCAGAATATCAGTATTTCAAAATTTTTGCAGAATGTTGTGGATACAGTGAAATAATTTTTCAATAAACTAACAAGCAATCTGGAAGTGTTCATAATTATTGCAGAACATGGCCACGTAGTAATGTGATGCCCCTACAACATATGGAATAATAATTTCATATGACATTTTCAATAAATAAAATAAAACACCAGCTTCAGTTAATATCTTAACATTTTAACTTTCATTTCCAAGTAAGTTATAAATACCGTTTTCTACCATAAATATACACTTTTCTATATGTTTAAATTTGTGCCAAGACTTCACTAGAGACAAAAGAGAGAGAGGGAGATTCCATAGAAACAAAATGTAAGAAGGAACACGCTGACAATTTATTAAGAGTAGATGAAGGAAGTGGTTAATACTAATACTGCAGAAATTCCGTATTTCAAAAGTTTTCAATAAACTAACAACCAATCTGGAAGTGATCTTCATAATTATTGCAGAACATGAATACATTGTAATGTGGTGCCTCTACAACATATGTAATAATAATTCCATATGACCTTTTCATAAGAATTGATAATCAATATTAAACTGACATCATAAACTACCCCATTTCAATCTATCTACAATCTTTTCTACCATAAATGTGCACTTTTACCATAATTTGTGCCAAGACTTATTTCATAGAGAAATAATCATGAAGTGATGTGTATGATTCATTAGACCTTACTATGAGATCTCTAATCACTTGGAGGCTATCATTTCACTACTTTGACAACGGTAGTTCAAAAACCAAAAATAGCGTTTGGAAATATATCAGAATTAACATTAAACAAATTTATAAATATAAATTAATAATAAGCAATAAAAAACAATAATATTTTAGAGGAAATCCATTTCTCTATCATTATGTCTGTATAACATAATATCAAAATTACTTTCTTTTCTAATATTAAACATATTAGCTAGGTGTAATAAGGAATGGCTTTATATTGTCAAATCCAGAAAAAATTGAAATTTAGTGTAAACATAGAGGATATAGCATTTTTACATATAATTAAAAAAATCATTTTAAAGTAGTGAAATACCCCATTATCTATTTAAGCATATTCCATGTTTATATGTAATAAGAAAAAATACTCATATTAAAAACTTAAAATCTAACCTTAACAGGTTTAGAAATATATTGATTTTTGGACATCTAACCCAACTCTTTATATCTCTTATCATATTCAAGACAATAAATATAAACACTTAACACTTAATGGGGTGTTTCTTAAATTTCTGCAGAGAAATATTGTAACATCTACACCTCAATATCCTCTATATTTACATTCCTCCATATTACAAATTTTTCTAAATTTGAAATTAATCTAGGACAAAAACATGAAATATTTTAACAACAAAATCAATAGAAATATTTACCCTCTATTAGCTGGATGTTCAGCATCAATAGTTAACCCATAATGAATATCTGCTTGCCAAGGATTAAATTTCTTTTTTTGCAAAATTCTAGTTTGATTATAACCATTAACAGCTTCCTCTTCCGAATCATATTCAGAATCATCACTAGTTTGAGATCGGCGTTGTTTCTTTCGTTTCCCAAACGATTCGTTGTTCTTTAACCTTTTTCCTCGTCTAGAAATTGTGTACCGATTAGGATCATATCCTTCTTTACGCATAATTTCGGGGAGATATCGTCGTCGTGCGTTTATAAACCAATTGCTAATTTGGAGGAACGTTAAATTGGTCTCGATGGATAGGTTTTGTTTCTCCATTTCTGTGGGGTATGCGTTAAAACGATGCTCGTAAAGCCAGCTTTTTAGAATCTTGACGGCGTTTTTTGGAAGATGCCCACGTCGTTTTACTACTGGTTCACTTCTATGGACGACGCCGACGTTTGTATCTTCATATTCTTCATTGAGAACAACCAATTCTGATTGATCGTACTGATCTGTGTCTGTATCATTTTCTTCCGCACTACTTGTGGATTGAAACTGCTGATATTCTATAAAAAATGTAGGTGTTTTAGGTAAGTTGAGATAAAAATGGGGTTTAATTACCAATTTCTTCATGGGACATGGTCAGGTACCAACGTGTTTTTTACAGGATTTGAAGAGCAGCTTAAGCTTTCTGTAATGGGAATAAATAATGGAATAGAAGACATCATATTAGAAGTTTGTCAGTTTTAAATTTCAAACTTACAAAATGTTGTCAGAATGATCCAAACAAACTAAATTCGTTTTGTCAACATTTGTAAATAGTTTTTTTACTCTGCCTACTTTGAAACAATAGCAAAATTGTTTGATGAACATTATATTAATAACTGTAAAAGTATGGTGGTAACACCAATTTTGGTAAAATTTAACCGCGAAATTATTCAAACAGCTGTCATATATGTTACCAATTGTTGCCCTCCAGAGTTTTGTATAAAAAGGGGTGTCAATTTTAAAGATGATTTCGATGATTAAAAGGTAAAAATCGACCGAATAACCGCACCTAACCGCAACGGCGTATCTTGGAAACGGAGCACCTAAATCAAATATTTTCATGAACGAACTGTACGGTTTGGATGATATTTTATATTAGTTGTCAAAAGTACACGTACAGAAACTGAGAAATTGACATTTCTGTTCCTAAATGCACTTCTTTTTCTTTGAGACAAGCTGTCAACAACTATCGACATTTTAGATTAAAAATTACCCCGAAACGGTACGCAAATGGTAAAACGTATCCTTAATTAACGTTCAGTCAATGAAAATAATGTGGAAAACTTACCATTTCTTCGAAAAACACTATTTTATAACGAAATGTCAATAAGTTATACAAAATGGTGGATTACGTCAGCTTGGTTAGGCAATTTCGATTGAGACGCTTCAACCATAATAATCTATACGACCCGTAAACTTTAAAAATACTTGTTTAATACACTAATTTAACACATAAATAAATGTAAGTAAACACATTTTAGGAAATTTTACATTTTGCAAATAAATTATCTTGTAAAAACGTTAAAGTTTAAATTATAGGAGGGTTCGTTTGATACCCAACAACCAAATCAATCACAATACAACTTCACGTCATTCATAAAACGGGCGCTTTAATTTAAAATTATTAACAAATCATAAATTTTTAAGAAAAAAACATTTAATTAAGTCATTTTATCGAAATTATTTTAAAAAATAAATAATTTTTATTAATAAATGTTAGTGTTATTTTAAATTTCGCGCCAAATCCCCACACTTCGATAAGAGTCGGATTCTCATTGGTTAAAAAGGCTATTATTACCCCCACTCAATAGTGAACGTTGGGACCATTTTCAAAAAGTTTATTTCTCGGCTTTATTGTGTTCTGACGCTAACCAAGGTTCGTGCGTTTCGAAATCTCGCTTCTAAATCTTGTGCAGTGTTATTTTTTTTTGTTTTCGGGTTGTTTTTGAAGACCGAGGAACGTCCCTGGTTTTTGGTGAGTGAGGGTTTAGTGCATGTTGAGCAATTTTTCGATATCATGACTAGATCCACACTCATCCAAAAGTGGAGGCAAAAATCATCAAAAAAATTACATACGTGAAAAAAAAACCCAAAAAAAAATACATTCTTTATTCCATTTAACGATATCGGTATGAAAAAAAACTTTGTTTTTTTAATAATTAGTTTAATTCTTACCGATTTTGTTTAAATACAACAAAAAGAATTTTTTTAGTTTTTGTTCGAAACGATTAATTTTTTTTTAAATAATGATGAAAGAAAATAATTGGAGTCATGCAATAGAGAAAATAAGAAGTTTGACTGCCCTTGAACCCTACAATAGTGGTCACGCGCGGAAATCGTTTCTGTATCTTTTTTTTATTTCCTCAGCAAATGCAAAAAAAATGAGACGTAACCGAAGTAATAATTACTCTCTAGCAGGAGTAATTTTTGTTGTGCGACCGCTAATTTCGTTTGGCGCCTCGTCTTGTTTACGTCTTGTGCGCGGCGGCGTCCCTCCTCAAACGAAGAACCGAGGAACGAGCTTTCTTGAAGAAGGAGCCAAGTCTCTTGGTCGGTGCTGTACCTCGGTTCTTTGTCGTACTACCTGGTCTGCTACAGTTAGGTAGAGAAGAGAGGGTCCCCCGGACAAAGATCCCTTTCTCGGTCTCATTTTTCAGACAGGTATATTTCTCACCACCTGCCTCACGGCTCTACTGCTCTTTTCCTATAACGATACGAAACGAACAACGATCACGAGAACCAACATTATTATTATCTACTTAAAAAAAATAAACGTTTTCTCTATTTTTAAAATTTTAATAGAGGTGAAAATCCTTTGTTTCATTCTTTAGTATTACTTCATAGAATTTTTGTATCCCGACGGTACTTTAAAGTTTTAAACCAGTGGTGTCCACTAATTTTTGGTCAACATCGACTTTTTATATACTGTGAGCGTCAAAAGAAAGTAAACACTACACTGAGAAAAATGATATGGAAAATTGAACTAAATCAATTTAGTTGTTAGACAAATAGTCATTTTTGCTAGAAAATTTATTCATTTACCTAACGTAATCTAGGTGACATAGAATAAAATTCTAATTAGTCAAATTTATCATAGTTAATTTATCTATTTACTGAGGAGATATAACTAATTTTTAGAAAAAGAAACTACTAGTTGATAAGTCTAGTTGTTATGTAGTTTAGTTACCTAAAGTATTTGGTATTTTGTCTATTTTGTTCTAGTCTGAATATCTATATACATTTAACAATGAAATATTTTACCTAAATGGACAAATGTACTATTATTAAATACTTTATTTAAATGTATTTTAGTCGTTTTGTCTACCTGTTTTCATCGTTACATCGATCGTTTATAGAAAATATTTCTTAATACAAACATTGCTTTTTCATCATCGAAAACGATCGATAAAGCATCTGTTTTTGAGGATTCGCTACCAACTTACAGTTACAAACTTTCTTCATTATTAC